TTGCAACAATTTCACGGATGAGGGGGGGGCTCTTTACAAGATGTGGTTCCCGTTTTGATTCCTCGCACGTTCGCTTGAAGCGTAAGCAGCAGTTTCATTGATGGAAGGCGGCTTCTCTGCTACATGTGGCTCCTGCCTCGGCGCCGCGAGGATTCGTTTTAGAATTTTGAAACAGTTTCTCCAATTGATGTCGGTTCCATTTCCAAGTATGGCGCTTGCCTTCGCGCAGCGCACATGTGTCTCAAACTTTGCAGCAGCTTCGCGGATTGAGGCGGGGCTCATTTTAAAGATGCGGTTCTTGCCTTAGCGCCGCGCGCCGCGCATTCGTCTTAAACGTTTGCATCAATTTCACAGATGGCGGGGCGGGGGGGGGCGTTTTCAAAATGAGGCCCTCGCCCCATCGCCACACACACTCGTCACATTCGTTTTATTCGTTTCAGTATTTTCACTAAGGGAAAAGGGAGAGCGTTTTCAAAATGGTGCCCTCGCATGAGCGACGCGCACATCCGTCTTTAGAATTGCTTCACGACTTGAGGGCGGCTCATTTTCAACGTGGAGTTTTCGCCTCAGCGCCGCGCGCATTCGTTTCTGCGAAGCTTAGCAGGACGGAGGACGGATCATTGCTCAAACATGGAATTATCGCTTGGGGCTTCGATGAGTTTGAAGACCTGGAACTTTCAGACATGTAGGGCTGCAAGGATCCATGCGGATCCATGGCGGCTCTTTTCCTAAGCCGGAGGGCGGGCCCGTGCCAGCAGACCCCGGTGCCAGCGCCCCCCAGCAACGGCGCCCCCCAGTACCGGCCCCCTTGTGCCGGCACCCCCCGCTGCCGGCGCCCCCTCTGCATCGGGCGTTCCCGACCCCAGCACAGGGAGGTTCTGGCACCAGGGGCTGCCGGCCAGCACCAAGGCGTGCCGTGGAATTTGGCGAAAACCCCAGTTATCGGGCTCGCCCCCCCCCCCAAAGGATACCTAGTTTTGTCGGTTGTGCAGGTTTGGTGGGGAGCGCAGCGACCTCGAAGGTAGCGTTGTGTTCAACGGCGCGGCGGTATGCGCAACAGCGTGCTGGTTTGGATGCGCGTTGGTGACACGCGGGGGCTTGGAGTGGCAGGGGGAGACGACGAGGACGACGACAACGACGACGGCAACTTTCTGGACTTCGGTCCCGCTGGGGCTTTGGAAGTGTACACAAGCATTTTGGTGCACCAGAGTTGTGGTCCACACGTATGCTGCTGAAGCAGTGACCGTGGTGCACAAAAGCGTCGCAGTGTGCACAGGCAGTGTGGTGTACACGGGCACGTGGCATACACGGCTGCTGTAGTGTACACAGGCATTGTGGTATACGCAAGTGCTGCTGTGCAAACGTGCGCTGCGGTGTACACCAACAGCTATAATATGCAAGATTGTCGTGGTGTTTACTAGACAGGCACTGTGGAGACATGGTCGGCCCCAAACGGGAGGATCGCACCCGAGGCCAGAAAAATCAATCATCACAAATAGCTCACATATTGAATTTGATATGTTCGGGGCCTCGGCGATTTCCTGCAGGTGTACGGAAGCGCTGTGCCGCAAATGTTCGCCATGCTTTGTGGTGCACGCGACTCCGGTGATGTGCACAGGTATCGGCGTGTACACAGGCACTGTGGTGCACGCGGCTGGTGTAGTGTACACAGGCATGGTGGTGTACACAGGCACTGTTGTGTAGACAGGCAGTGCGTTGTAAACAAGCAGCTGTGGTATGCGGTGTACACAGAAATGGTCCATGGTTGGCCCCAAACGGGGGGACCGATTACCCCGGGCCAGGAAAATCATTCACCACAAATATCTTACACGTTGAATTTGATACATTCGGGCCACCTGCGATTTTTCTGATTTGGGTCCCGTCGGGACCTTGGAGGTGCACGGAAGCGCTGTTGCGTAAATGTTCGCCATGCGTGGTTGTGCACGCGGCTCGTGTGGTATGCCCAAGCATCAGGGTGTACACTTGGTGCAAGCAGAAGCTGCTGCTGCAGCAGTCAATTGTGATGTACAAGAGCTTTGTGGCGCACGCATTTTTGGCAGTTTCCACAGGCATGGCGGTGCTGCACACTAGTGTGTTCATGATTCCGTGGCTACTCTCAGCAATCCCATCCCGAGTATCCCAATGTTAGTTGCATGGACATATCCTTAGGCATTCTCAGACGGCGCCCGCATCGTCGCAGCACCACTAACAGCATCGTCGCAGCATCGTTGGCAGCTGTAGTGGCCGCAGCACCTGTGCGCGCGGACATATGCAGGGCTGCCCACAGCGCGAAGGTTTGGTTATCGGCCAGCCCCCCCCCCCCAGGTCATCCTGGGTTATCGCCGATTGAATAACACCTGTTTTGGTCGTCGTCGCCTACTCCTCGTCCTCGTCTTCCTCACCTCCTCCGCTCCTCCTCCTCCTCCTCCTCCTCCTCCTCCTCCTCCTCCTCCTCCTCCTCCTCCTCCTCCTCCTCCTCCTCCTACCTCGCCTTCCTCCCCGTCCCCGTCGGGGCCGCCGAACCAGCTTGCCTGGAATCGAAACGAGTCGAAATGGGGTTGACCGAGATCGTCTCTGCATCGGTTCGAACCAGCCGAACCGGTCGGGAAAACAGCACCGAATCGTGCCGAACCGAACCAGTCTGTGACGTGAACCGAGCTGGTCTGCGACGCGAGCCGAAGCGGCCGAGTTTTACAGTGGGCACATCGAGCGGAACCGAACCGCGGTTTTCTGCGATTCAAAAAGAGAGCCCAACAGAGGAGGGTTCCGAAGAAGTGGATCTGACAAGAACGCACGTGTTCTCAAAGGATGAGTGGCAATGCTTATTTCGGGGGGTTCTTTAGGGTGGTCTCGGAGCTCGCTTGGGGCGTCTTGGAAGCTCCTTGGGCCGTCTTGAGGCTAGCCTATGTTTCTGAGGCCTCCTCGGCGGGCTGAAGCCCAGCGTGATCAAGCTTAGGCGGCATCCTGAACATGTTGGATGCGGAGATTCCTGTGGTCCTGGGGGTGCGTTGATGAAATCGTACCCCGTCGTAGCCCCACACTCCCACCCATCCCTCCCGGCTGAAACACGATGTTGGACCTTGGAGGAGGGGGACATGGGGAGGGAGACAGCCCATGGCAGCCAAATATCTCACACGCCTGATCACCCCCGACAAGAGGGGGTCGGCGGATAAGGACAAGGGATTCCTGAGGAAGAATGAAGGAGGAAGGCGAGGAGGAGGATGGAGAGGTGGGGGACTGCAGGGCAGCGACGTCAAATCAGCCATTTACGTAAGAGACAAGGGTCGAATGGTACTTGCCATCCTAGCAGTGACAGCCACTGCGTTGGCACCAGCGGCTCTTCACAGTCGTTGGTTGCCTCACAACATGCACTTGTTTGAAGAGCATGTCGCTGGTATCTACGTCTGGTGTCGATTCGCCATATTCGCCATGGCAGCATCAGATCATGCTTTCTTAAACGTGCTGACAGTACCACACCATATTCCAATGGTATCAGGACACGGGCCACCTTTGGCAGCTCAGCGGCTGAGAAGTAGCCTGCTCACTGGGGAGCCAGGGCCATAACGTCAGTTTCAGGGTGACGGGGCAGGAGGAGGGCGGGCGAGGGAGGAGGAAAAGGCAAGCTAGGTGCGTTCGCGTCATATCTGACGTCCAACCCCTCCCCCCCATCCCTTACCATGGCGTCGATATCCTTTCTACTCACACAGTCGGATGTCGAGCGGGGCAATGATCGCGAGAGGATACGCGATGCATGGTAGACACGACATGGCATGGCGCAGAGGAGCACGGCAGAGCGTAGCATGCCATAGCATGGCGTGGCATTGCGCAGTGAGGCATTGCATCACAAAGCTTTGCAACGCAAAGCATGGCATCGCACAGCGGCGCAGAACGCAGCACCGCACAGCATGTCATGGCATGGCGCCGGGTTCCTTAGAGGGTAAGTGGATCGACGTCGAGAGGTCTGGGCCGGTCTGGAGTCGTGGCTCCATGCCTAGCTTCTTGGACTCCCCGAAAAGTTCCACAGAAGGTGGGGCCGATGGAGAGTACCTGCTGGCTCTGCTTCCAACATCGCCTTCTCAAAGCAGAAACGGGGCTCCCGCTTGATACTTCCTGAAAACGACGACGCCCCTGCTTCCGCGGCCCAAAAATTCAACGAATCGACGCCGAATGTGTAATCTTTTCCTATGGTTTTTTCGGGGTGGCATTTTCTAAATTTTTGGGCCTATCTGGAAGGACCGAAAACGCCCGCGCTGCAGCGGGATCACGATTTGGAACAACTAGAGGCGCAGAAATGGCGCCAGCGCTTCAGTGGGAGCAGCAATTTGAAAAGCAAACCCAAGCGAAAACCCATTTCCCGGGAACCCTGTGTGTAAAAAACAGTTCGCGGAGAGGGACCATATATCTTCCGGACGTCATCAGGGCAGAGAGGAGAGTAGCATTCATGTTGTGTAATTGTGGACGGGCGGGGGAGGGAAGGCGGAGGGAGGAGGGAGGATTTACAGAGGGAGGAGTAGGAGGGAGGAGGAGGGAGGGAGGAGGGGAGAGCAAGGAGGGAGGGAGGATGGAGGAGGAGAAGGGAGGAGGTGAAGAGGAGCGGATCGGATCGGCTGTCCGCGGAAGGACCGACAGGGCTGACGGCCGGGGGGTGCAGCACGAACTAGCACTACAGCCCATGGTGAGGGGGGGGGAGGAGGGAAAACGGGAGGAGGGAGGAGGAGAGTGCAGACAGCAGAGAAGGAGACAGGAGGAGACAGGGTGGGTATGAGGGGAGACGACCAGCTGGCGTGATTTCACACGCGGCAGTACAATGTCCGACCTTCATTCCCGAAGGAGGTCCAAACGAATCCAGTCCCCAGAGCCTCTTTCGAGACTGGGCTCTGGAGTCTTTCTGGCACGGTAGCGCTGGCGAGGCAACGAACGAGCGAGGAGGGGGCCGAGGGGAAGCAGGAGGAAAAGCGGGGAGGAAGGAGTGGGACAGAGGGGGACGCTGCGCACGCCAGGGCTGGCCTCGACAGAGGGCCGACGTCGCCAAGCAGTCCCTCTGAGGATTGCGCCGGGGCCGTCGGCGCCGAGCAGCCGCATGGCGCGCCCTCAGATCAAGAGGAGGAGGAGGGGCGATGAGGGAGAGCAAGGAAAAGGAAGAGGAGGAGGAGGAGGAGGAGGACCAGCGCATTTGACTGAATGATGTCTTCGTCTGATTGCCCTGGGCAGAGCTTGAATCACCTGACGCGTCTTTCGCATCTCGGACAAGCATATCGACAGTGATGGAGTTGGCCAAGCAGGGCTTGCTGCGCATACCGTTCTTGGGGTGGCGGCAAGTCTTGAAGCAGTGAGGGTTGCTGTCTTACCATTGCTGGGAGGGTGGCCAGGGCCTTCTGCTTTGAAAGCCTTGGCGAAGAATTCACTGTAAGCACCGCACTGCGAACAAACGACGGCACAGCTTTCATTATCGAGTCGATCAAAAACGTATGTGTTGTGCCCTTTCCTGTTCTCGGAAAGTTGCGAGAGGGTGGCACAAACACCAGGCCACTTCAGTTTGTCTCTCTGGGCCTTGATGGCCTCTGTGCGGAATCCAGTTCGGCAGAGCTCGCACATCTAAATACGTACCGTCGAACTCAACCCACAAATGGGACCCTCTGCTTTGTTGGTCGTCCTGAGGAGGAACGCCAAGCTCGGTCCAAGGACCCCCAGGAGGGGAAGAGGAGGAGGTGGGCAGCAGAAGACGGGCGAGCAAAGCGGCGCCCACCACAGGCTTGACAACTGGCTTGGAAGTAGACCTGCCGCAGGCCTCTCCTCCAGGCTTCGGTGCAATTGCTGGCCACGACGGTAGGCCATGCGCTAAAGCAACTAACAGTGAACGTGCCATTTTTGGCGTATTCCCGGAGTTCGTCTCCCGAGGGACCCCCACGCTTGAATGCAGCAGTTTTGGCGATTCTGTTGGCAACGTCATTTCCCATAGCTAGGAATTCTTCTTTGGACACTTTCGGGGATGGCTTCTAGTTTATGGCGCGCTCTAACTTTACAAGTGGTTGGAAGGGTATCCCGTGAGCATTACCTTTAGCGAGCAGCTCAAATCGAACATGCCAACAACATCGTGTGGACTCGCGCCGGTCAGCCCATAGAGAAACGCATGCCGCAGAGTTTCTCATTTGGGTTCCGTAAGCAGTTCATGGATAGGGGCTATTGCCAAGGGGAGGTACACGTGGACACGGACAACAACACGCTGAAGGTGGCAAAAGAACTAGTCGTAACAGTACGAGTCGTGGGCAGCACCATCCAGATTAGTGGGCGGTCCCTTGGGCAAACTGGGAGGAGCGTGCCAAGAGTCCAGACATGCAGCACCTCACCAGCAAGGCGAATCAGGCGCTGGGCCGGCTTTCGAAGGGAAGTGAAAAGGGCAAGAGAGGGGGGGCAGGACATTTTGAGTAGAAACTCGGACGGCACATTGGCATTGCGAGCGCAAGTAATTAGAACAGGCAGACGGGTAACATTCCCCTGTGCGTTAATGTACTGCGGCGGAGTCGCCACCTGGAATGCCGGAAGCATCAACGTGGATTTGCCGTGTAAGCTCGATGAATTTATTCAGCACATATGCGTCATCGATTCTAGATATCGCAGCCTTTTGTTTCTAAGAAACGCACAGCCGTGGATCGTCATCAATATTTGATGTCCAAGGCGTCCTTGTCATTCTCCTCGGACACGAACCAGATTCCAGAGAATACTCTGGAGTTGGGGTTGATCGGCGCACCGTGGACAAACATGCGGTAAAAGGGATACATTCAAGAAGACAATCGGATGTCAAGCTTAAGGATATGTGTTCACGGATGGATATTTAATCTTGGTAACAGCGTATGCCTGGACAAGCGAGCACGCCTATGAGGCCCGGCGCGACTACTGCACAGCATTCGTGATTCAATGCCGTTCGCAAGGTCCAACCTTTGTGCTGGGATGTTGTAATGCGAGATTGCTGGGATCACACGCCCTGGAGGAAAACATCATCGGAGAGAACGTTTTCAATAACACTAGATAAGCATGGATCCCACTATCCCTATCCAATAGAGAGCTCTTATTGGAACTATGTGGCTCCCTGAAAGCGTGCATAGCGAAAGCGTTCCTCACCCCAGGCTATGACCATGCGATCGGTTACCACAGTATTGGAATCAAGCCCTCTGCTGGTATTGTGCTGGGAGGTTGTTCACCCATTGGATCACGTCGTCGTTGGCGAAGAACGACTATCCGCCATGTCTGAAACAGGAAGTGACTGGCAGCGCCCACTTCAATCAATCAGTTTGTTCAGGTTGTCGACATGTAGATCGCAATCCCCAATAAGGACCGCGCACATCGCGACCCCGAGTTGGATGTCAACATGACGCGGGCGTTTGGGAATAAAGACAGATTGTGCACTGCCATCATTGGAAGAGCGGGGGAGAGCCTTGTCGTGAATCTATCTCTGGCCAAACTTCAGCAGCAGCACGCTGCATGCTGCAATCCTCAATCTCCCCCCCCCCCCCCCCTCCGCGCTGGGGTGGTCGGCGAAATCATATCGCACTGTCCACTTCATCGACGAGTGGCGCATAATGCGTCAGAACGGCACCGAAGACGACAACGCGAACAAGTATATCAAGCAGCACGCGATGGCCGACAGGAAGAGCTGGCGCACGCAAAGTATCAAAGCAGACGAATGGGGCGCCAGAGTGCGATCGCGCCAACGCGCTTCGCGCAAGTGTGGACGCCCACGAGATACGGGGGGCAGTCTGGCTGCATCAGCTGGCTGCGCAGACGCAGTGGCAACTTACTTGGGCACTGCGCTGGCGACCACCTGAAGAAGAAGGTAGACCGCCGCAGCCAATCGATGGGGGAGTTTCTCCGAACGTCGGCGCGGGCCCGATCGGGGCGGAAGAAATCAAGCAGGCAATCAACCACTTCCGGGCCCGACGAGCTGCAGGAGTCGACGACGCTTTCGGCGCGTCGACTATTCGACGCCATGTTGGACGACAAAGATGGCGAATTATGATTGATGCTCCTAGACTGGAGTAGGGCGCTTGACCGCGCTAGCCCAGCAAGACTTGCACGCGCGCTGGAACGAATCGGCGAACCTTGCGCGATGGCGACATGATCAGGGACTGCCCACAATGCGCCCAGTGGTTTTGAACAACGGGATCGCCACATTCTCGGCGAGGACGCCATCCGCTGGATTTGCCCCGGGATGCCCGTTAACGTCTGATGTGTTTCTCGTCGCCATGCCAACGCATGTCGGGGGCAGCCGGTCTTTATTCGCTCGGCCGCAGAGAGGCCGGACAGGTCGGCCGCGCCATATTTCACCACAGCCATTTTTCATTGTAAGCCGACGACGCCATGCTTGCCGCCGCGGGCCCGGGCGCGCCGCAGACGCGCTTGGACGCGGCGGTTGAATTTGGAAGAGCAAGTGGTCTGGGGCTCAACGCAGACAAAACAGCACTACTAAAAGTGCGAGTTGATGGAGATACGCTCGGCCCCGATGGGGCGACCACTAAGACGAAACATAGCGCCGCCTACTTGGGCGATCTGATCAGCGCAGACGGGGGCGAGCAGAGCTCGCGCGGCGCCTGGGAGAGGCCGACAATAAATTGTTAAAGATTGCGCCCGGCATGGGGCCGCGCCAACTTGGCCGGGGCGCGGAGAACGCAGATTTTGGAATCGCGCGCGTTCCCCAGACTATGGCGCGGGCTGGAGTCGCGCACGTTGCCCAGCAAGGGCTGGGCAGATGGGTTCCCAGCAAGATGCCGAATGGGGGCCTTCAACACTCAGCCGGCGCAGTTATCTCGCGCGAGCAACGCCGAAGCACGCGAGCGCGCACGGGTCTCCCCGCTGACTGCGATCTCATTGGGGGGACAGCTGAAGTCGCGCAGCAAGCTCGCCCGGGACAGCGCCAGAAGCGCACCCCGGACAGCGGCGTTCGACGAGGGCCGCGCGCGCAAGATTTCGCTTCGAAATTGGACCCCCCCGCGATCTAGAGGGCGCCCTCGGATGCAGTGGACAACGCATCTTCGCGCCGAGGCCTTAGCAGCGGCTGCCAATGACCCGGGCTCTTTCCACGCCGCTCTGCTGATTTCTCCAGGATGGCGCGCGGCAGTCGAAAAGCTTTACTTGCCGTTGCCAGACGCCCTTCGCCCCCCCCCCCCCCCCGCCGCAAGTTTCGCTTGCAGGTCGGCGAACAGCGGGTCACCGAGCGCGCGGACAGCCGCCGATCTCGCCCCTTTTTCCCCCATGCAGGGCGCATTCGCAATCTGCGTTCCCCCGCGTTTGCGCGCTCGCTGAATGTCTGCGCGGATGCGCCGTCTAGGCGCGGCTTCTTCCGAAGCAGCTCTAGCCCCGCTTGTACGGTCTTCCTCCCGCAGCTGGCCGAGCACAAATATATGTTGCCCCTGGGTGGTCCGAGCGAATGCACTTTCGCTTCGGGCAGGGGCGGGCTGCCGCCGCGCGCGCGAAACTACGGGCTGGTCGTCGCGCGGAAGGGGGGGCGAAGCTGAAAGCCATGGGTCGGGGTATTTGTCAGGGAACACCTTGCAATTCAATCGCGCATGCCATCCTTTCATGTCTGATGTTGCGCATGTGGAGGGCGGTTGAACCCAGGCGTCGCGCTGTCTGTCGGGCTCCCATGCGTTCGCTGGGCGTCGAGGGCGCAACCAGCGACTGCGCGAGACCTGCGACTGCTGGCTTAGTTTTGGCGCGGAGGCATGGGGCGCGGTAAGGTGCCAGGCAGCTGGCGAGCAGCCGCGACATCGAGTTGCCCGTTCACCTGCCCCATATTGGGCGGCGGCTCTCTTCTCGAGGCTCGCTTTCACGGCCTCCTCGAGGCGGCGCTCAAATAGAGTCGGCGACGCACCTGTTACCTGAAATGTCTGGCCTTCCGAGGTCTCGATCTCGACGGGGCCCCTCGGGCCCCCGACGCGACGGGGCAGGCGATTTAAAAGCGCCTTCCCCCCCTAACTAGTGGAGCCCAGCCGCCGGAAATTGACATTTCAATCGTCTGCCCCCCCCGACACCCCCCTGCGGTCGCGCGCGG